GTAAGTACGTCCCCAGGGCCATCTTGGTGGACCTGGAGCCCGGCACCATGGACTCGGTGCGCTCAGGACCCTTCGGGCAGATCTTCCGGCCGGACAACTTTGTTTTTGGTGAGTCCCCGTGTCCCCAATGTCCCCAAAAATGTCCTCTGAGGTGACTCAGGGGTCGCCATCATGGCAGCGTCCTTCATTTGGTGGCCATGAAGCTCCTGGTGGTGGCCACTGTTGGGTGACCAGGGCCATGGGGTGGCAGGTTCCAACCGTGGTGGCCCATGGGGTGACACATCCCTCCTTGGTGGCTCTCAAGGGGCTGTCACAGGGGGTGGCAGGTCCCTGCTGTCCCCTTATTTGGTGACTAGGGTCTTTCTCTGGGTCCCCACTTTGGTTCTTGGAGTCTCCAAGGAGCGTCACACATGTCCCCAGGGAGGGCAGTGAGGTCCCCAAGGGGATCAAGGTTGGGTTGAGGGTTGCCACAGTTGGGTTGGGGGTTCCCAGGGTTGGGCTGGGGGACCTTAGGGGTAGGTTGGGGGTCCCCCCAGTTGGGTTTGGGGTCCCTAAGGGTGGCTTGGAGGTCCCCAAGGTTGGGTTTGAGGTCTTCAGAGTTGGGTTGGGGGTCTCCAGGGTTGACTTGGAGGTCCCCAAAGTTGGGTTAAGGGTCCCCAAAGTTTGGTTTGAGGTCCTCAGGGCTGGGTTTGGGGTCCCCAGGGTTGGGTTGGGGGTCCCCAAGGAGATCAAGGTTGGGTTTGAGGTCCCCAAGGTTGGGTTGGGGGTTCCCAGAGGTGGCTTCGGGGTCCCCAAAGTTGGCTTGGAGGTCCCCAGGGTTGGGTTGAGGGTCCCCAGGGGGATCAGGGTTGGGTTTGAGGTCCCCAGGGGTGGCTTGGAGATCCCCAAGGTTGGGTTTAATGTCCCTAAAGTTGGGTTGGGGGTACCCAGAGGTGGCTTAGAGGTACCCAAGGTTGGGTTTAATGTCCCCAACATTGTGATGAAGGTCCTCATAGTGGGGCTGGGGGTCCCCAAGGTTGGGTTTGAGGTCCCCAGTTTTGGGTTAGGAGTCCCCAGGGGGATCGAGGTTGGGTTGGGGGTCCCCGAGGTGACCAAGGTTGGGTTTAATGTCCCCAAAGTTGGGCTGGGGGTCCCCAGGGGTGGCTTGGAGGTTACCAAGGTTGGGTTGGATGTCCCCAAGGTTATGCTT